ATGTATTGTGGCGTCTGTTTCGAGACAATAATGCCTATATTTAAAGTACTTTTTCTTTGTATATTATAATACATATTTGTAAAAAGGAAGGAAAATTTGTATCAATGCAATTATTATAAAATTATGCGTAATCATAACATTGAAAAATTATAAGAATAAATCAGAATTATTGCATTTTCTGCTGCAGATTATAAAATCTGAACAAATTTAATTCTTAGTGGAAATTTTTTTACCCGATTCAATGTTCATTACAATTTCTTTCCGATAATGTACAACATTCAATATTTTTTTTCATGATTAAACTCAATATTAAATTTCTATAAAATTAAATCTCTCTGCACCGAAATATTTTTCATAAATTTTTCTCTATATTATTACGTATCTTCTGTTTTTAAAGCACTGAAATCAAAAGTGCTACGATTGTTCCGTGTACGTAGCAACATGCGCAAAATTGTAGTAATTAAACTGTCAGTAATTTCAATGAATTAATTTCAGTAATTCGCTTGGAATTTACACATAAAAACAAAAATTATCTGTTCACTACTGTATCGTTAAACTTGATACATTAAACCTAATTTATAGAGGCCTTAAATCAACTATCATTTTCAATCTAATAAAGAAGATAATGCAATAATTCTTGTATATCTTGTATCTCAATAAAAATTTTAATGTTTGTAATCTACGATAGTTCACGCTCTCCGCGTCATTGCCATATGAAACGCTTGTCCCTATCCTAATCTCCGTCGTCAAATGTATATGCGGTTCGTTTACAGAGCACAGTGTTTCTGGGAAATCATACGTTTCGCGAGAGGAATAAATTAAAGTTTGCGAACTAATTTAAATGGACATCGACGATGTGTAAAAATAAAAAACCGCCACGCGTATACTCGTAAATTCGCGATGCATTCCAATTGCGGGGTTTCAGTTACGCAACGATTTGCAGTCACTATGAAAAATTTTGGTAAACAAAATTATTTTGTAAAATGCTTCAACAAAACACTTGTCACGGCGTTGTACTCTACACCACTTGTCGGAAAAAAACAGAAAAATTGTATTTTGATATTAAAGAGATAATTTTTTATTACGCCCGCACCGGCGAGTACATTCGTCATTGTTTTCGCTACTCAAAAGTTGCGCAATGCATTCGCAATAAGTGTGCAGAATGCATCTGTACTTTGGAAACTTCCGAACACAGCCGTCATATTAATGCTGCATAAACGCAGGCAGTAATTTTGTGAGTTAGCTGATCTTGTTTATACGATAACATTATACATATATACGATAATTTTTATATCTAATGTTTTTATACCTACATGAACATGTTAAAGTGTTACATTTAGATAATTTTCCTTTAAATTCTATTATATTAAGTACTAATACTTATTTTTATTCATAAATACATAAATTTGTTTTTACGTATTATCTATGTCTTCAGCAATTAATTCTCTTTTATATCATTCTGTTATATTTTTCATTACGCTTCGTTTCAGCAATATATCTAAAGCATTGCAAAATCAATACACTCAGGAAATAAGAAGCCTAAGAGAAACAGATGTTATAAAACGTCAATCTGTAATGTCACGAATAAAATATCAAACTTATTCGCACGATAAAAGTCATGCGCCCTTCCGAATATCAAGCGATTGTCTTTTCATCGTTTCGTCGGAGTTAATTAACAAATGTAGATGTATACACATGAAGGATATTACCGCGTGTGTTCTCTGACTCATTAGCAACAAAGCGGGGCTTTAAACTTGTTTCCCGAACGATAAAGCTTCGCGGCTTTGTAACTCTGATAACGAGCGTATATGACTAATCATTCTCGAAATTGTCACCCGACGCGATCACCTTTATTCCCGATGTCCAATTAATCGCGCCCGCATTTTGCTCTGTGTCGAATAATGAAGTAAGCGACAGATAAAAATTTCTCCGTGCAGACTGAATTTAGCTTGAAAGCAAAAATACGCAAGCAAAAATCTTATACCCAACATCATACAAATGATTCACGTTCCTATTGACCGGTATTTATTAAATTATTATTACTTTTTTTTAATTACTAGAAACACAGAATGCGCGCGCCGTTTGTAATTACATAGCTCATTCCATTTTTTTCATTACATAAAATATAATACCCGTCTCAAAAATTCTCAATTCCACCTGCAACGTTCTAACCAAGGATTCTAACCTTTATGAATGTCGTATTATTCTTTACGAAAAATGTTTCAAAAATTCCAGGAATTAAAACGGAACTTTCATGTGCATGGCTTCATACGCTCCACATTGTTCATCACATGGAATGGCAAAAGATACAAAAAGAAAAATAAAAGTGGCTTTAAGCTACATGAGTCAGTGTGTGAAGAAAAAATTGTATACGCAAAAAAATTCAAATCTTTTCGTTACGTTTTCCATCTCGATGTGATTCTTGCATCGTGAGCGAATATATACGGCAGCGGAAATGCGTCAAATTATATACGACTCTTGAATACAACTGAACCAAATTCACTCGGTACCTTCCTCAAACTCGGTGCAGTTCTAATTGAATCCACCGCTAATTTTACATATATCAGACAATAGGGCTATTGTCCTCAATGCATCTTACGATTCCGACCGATCGATCATTCGTGATTTCGTTCCGCTCGCTCGCAGTCGCTCGCATTGCGCTTTGGAACTACGTGTCTCGAGTATGCACAGGACTTATATATATAGGTATATAGCCTCACGGTATATGCAACTCCGCCAACAAAATTATGGGGATCGAAATCTCAGCGGGGCGACTTAACTACATTAAGAGCAGCTTACTTGTTAAGTGCGCGGAGATAAGTACAACGTAAGTGTATTGCACGTTCGCACATTCTTTATTCGCGTACCTGGTTCGTATACATATCGGGAATCTTCTTCGTATCTATGAATATAAAATTCGCTTATTCTCGCACGGGGAAGTTAACAAAAATAACGAGACAACGTATAATGACAATGCAATACGATTCTTAATGCGTCCGTTTTTAATGATATTTTTCCTGGGCCTACACTGGATGGCCCTAAAATTCTTACTCCTTCCCTTTTTCTTTTTCTGAAAGAAAATATCTACGCCTTTATAGGATGCAATACTAAAATCCCGTTTTTTAGACCACGCGTAAAATTCGGAGAGTGCAACGCTATTCCTAAGCCTGCCTCTATCCCGTTCTGTTTCTTGGCCGCACTAAATTACAACAGCGTCGGATAAGACGAAAAAATAAAAACGCATTTTTCTTTGTTATACGTTCTTCTTTCATCTAAAACTTTAAATCTTTCTATCTTCTCCTTTTTTTTCGTATTCGCGATTTCCATATTTCGCTGCAATTTTATAGAATATAAACCCCGCGAATGTGGAGCTTTCGCTGTGTATTTCCCTACCTCGCGATAACACACGCGAAAGTTTCCCGCGAGAAAATGTATTTCGACTGACGGAAAGTCCCTTAGCGGGCGTATCGCTACATATCCGTACCTTAATTAGACCAACTGCGTGGAAAACATGTTTTACATTACATTATAGATGTAACAAGGTCGAGATGCAAAGATACATTTGTAACTTTACATTGTGTTGCTGACACGTGATAAAGAACGAAGCAAATGTGTAACACGCCGCCGTGTTATACCCACGTGTACATAAGTTAAAAGGAGATACAATTGCGACGCGATGGTGAAAATTGAAATTGTTCGTTCCTCGTCGAAATTTATACGTTGAAACTTTACGTTGAAATTCTTAAGAAACTGGACCGGTGAAGAAAAAGTGAAAATATAATATACGGATCGCGAACATCTTGTACGAAGGATCGGAGGAGGATAAGAACGTGTGCACGGAGGGAAGGGTAAAGTACGGCTTGTTCTTATCTCGGGGTTGGTGGCTAATGCAACGAAATAATGAATCAGGGGATTATCTACGCTCGTAGGGCGTGCCGCGTGAGGGCTGCGAGTTTTTCAGCATTATCATCGTCTCGGATGTCCCCCGCCTTCCCCCCCCCCCTCCTCCTCTGCCCTCCTCTCCCCCACTCACCCCCGCCCTTTGTGACTGACACACCTGAGCGCCCGTCCGATAGTTCACTCGATAATTCGAGTATCATTGTCGCGGCTAATCGCGATGCGTATCGTAATGTATTAAAGACGACGCGCGTGCTCGCCGCCGACGTGGGATATAACGTGAGGGAAACGGAAGGGAATTATGCTTCGCGACACATCGCCGACGTATCACGAAGAGCAGATAGCACCGCCGTTTATGAAGTTGGAAATTAATTAGCAATTTAATCTACTGCGCAGCGATATCTATTTGTGCCGTTGTTTATAAGAGATACGAGGGGACTGTACAAAGCCTCGGGAAAAAAAATATATTAAAAAAAAAAATACATTTTCTATTTAAAAATATGTATCATTCAACAATATTCATTTCACTATACGTAAACAGTAAACAGTCGTATTATTCTCGTCATATAATATGCAATTTAATTTACATAATAATTCATACTGCATGCTCTAGACTTGTATTATAAACTTGATACTTATACACGCGTGCATCACGCGTTTACGTAAATATATATAGACTACATATCCCCAGAGCTTTTATACTAATCTCATTTTAACCAAATACGAATTATTCCCGTGTTTGAAAATTAAATCGTAACCTCGTGAATTTGTAATTTCGAAAAGTAAATCGAACTGATTTTGTCATTTCAAACGAGCATAAATGTGATCGGAAATTACAGTTTAATTTAGTGATGTTTTTCATATTTCATTAATTTTCTATTACGAAATATATAAATTTGTTTGACCCACTTTCTTTTATTTTCCCGTAAAATAATCCCTTTCCCTTCGTTACTCGAGATCACTACGGTCTCGACGTCAATATCGTTCTACGTTTTCCGACCTGACAATTTCAACTTGTACGATATTCGTCGATATCTATATTCTCTTGCGACAGTCTCTACGTGTCGTGTAACGGAGTTTCCCACCAAAGTAAATTGACTTACCGGTGTGGTGTACGGTTGGCAGGCCAGCCTGATCCCGTCGTGTCTCAGCTTCTCCTGCAGCAGCATCCTCAGTTGCATCCGGGGAATTCTCACCAGCTCGGCCTTGCCCTCCTCGTACTCGTCCGCGAACTTCGTCAGCTCCTGACCGCCGCTGGAGGAGCTGGCCGTGGGCGACGCACGCTGCGCCTCCTTGTCGCTGGGTGGCCGGTCGGACGACGTCCTCGACGACTTGGAGCTGATGTTGTCGCAGCTGTTGTCGTTCGTCTCCTCCAGCGTGAAGTACACACTCGCGGCGCCTTCCTCGCGTAGGGTCTTGACCGACTGCAGCAGGCGCGCCCGGTGCTTCTGATTGAAGACGCCGATCGCGTCGAGATCCGGATCGCCGATCTGCTTGCAGATCTCAAGGTCGTCGTAGCCGTTATCGATGAACGACTCCGAGTACTGGCCGAGGTGGAGCGACCGCAGCCACTCGACCACGATGTTACTTGCCATGGTCATCTTGACGTCTTTTCTTTCTCTTTCTCTTTCCCTCTCTCTCTCTCTCTCTCTCTTTCTCTCTCTCTCACGTTGTTCACGCGCGTGGGCCCCGACTACGCCCCCGCTCGTTTGCTTCTCTTCAAAACCACGTCTTTCCCCCTCCTGGCCCGCTTCCTCTTGACGATCCCGTTTCACGACGATCCCGCTTTATTATCCGGTGCACTCGTCGGCGGCGGCTACTACCATCCCGCGAGGCCGCCCTCCAGACGACAACGTAACGTCCATCGAGGCGCGCGAGGGCCGAGGATCGTCGAAATTCGATCGATTCAGCAAGTAAATCGGATCCCCCTCTAGCGCGACATTCTCCTCTCACGATCGGCTGCGGTATTAACGAGGGTCGTCTCGCCGACGACCCTGGAACACGCGGGGCGTCGACGGGGGAGGGAGGTAGTTTGCGGCGGTCACGTTCGCCGTTTGACATGTACCGCTCTTCGGATCATCATGGGATACACGGGTGACAGTCTCGAGATCGGCGGCGCTGTTCTCTTCCCTTCTGTCTCCTCCCCTCTCGCTCAGGACGTCGTCTCGGCGATGTGCAGCCGTCGAGATGTGCCCCCTCGTCCGTTTCCGCGAGCGGATTCTTGCGGAAAGACGCAAAGGCGGAGCGTCACTGCGGAAAGCCGGAGGGCGAATCGCGTCGGATCTCGTTCTATCTTCGCGCGACGCGAGAAACATAGGCGGGGAAAAGAAATTCGGGGGAAAATTTAGAGGGATCACACACACACATATATATATATATATACACACACACGCGCGCGGAAGAGTCAGTTCTTGCCGGCGCACGTACGACAGCAGCCTCGAGCGTATATATCCTCGATAAATCCCGTCGCGTCTCGCGCACCTTTTGCTCCTCTTCGCGAACCGCGATCTTGGCGGCGGAATCTAATCCGGCACTTTGCCACTCGACGACGCGATTTACTTCGGTTTGCGAGCGATCGGTTTATTTACGCGCACGCAAAAGAAAGAACTTCGAATCGCTGGAATTACACCGTCGCACGCGCACGCGAGAGGTTATCAGCTGATCCGCGTCGCCGGAATCGCGACGATCGGCGATCGATGCCGGGAATGACGCGCTATTTCCGCGCCTGTACTTATCGTGATAAAGTGAGACGAACCCAGATTGACGGTCTCGATCCGAGGGAGACTCCGGGAATAAATCCGGAGCGATGATCGTCGACGAGGACTCGCGAAGGTCCGCGAGCGAAAATCCCGTGTAAAATCCTGCCGTCGAATCCAGACGTTCCTCTTCTTCTTCAAATGGAAGACGATCGTAGATCAACGCGAGATCGACGTCGGGGATCTCGATGAAGACGGACGACGTGGACGGGTCTGCTCCGGTTTAAAAAAGCACGAGACTTGGCAACGTCGTCGGCGCGACCGACCCCTCCGTTCGCTTCCTATTGCTAGCGATTTTGAAACTCGCGCCACGGTCACTCATTCACGCGACAGATCAAACGAGTCGTTCGCTCCGCGGCTAGTCGATTCTCCGATGAAGGATTAGGGGCTCACGCTGAACGAACGACAAAACGAAAATCGGAGCACGTCCGCTCGTGCACTGCGAACTGCCGGCGCTCTCGCGACGACGTTTCTTCGAAAACTGCGGCGGCTTCTTCCTTCGTAGAACTTCGTGCAGTCACTCGCGACGGTCACGGTCGGCTATTCCACGCGTTGAAGTTTCCCCCTTTTGCGCACACGAACGGACGTTGGGGGACGCGAAACCGGCGAAACGATCCGTCCGGTCGAGCGGCGATCGTAAGATTTCGAAGGGCCGAAAAACCACGGCGGCGGCGGCGGCGGCAACGAGCGACGAGAGTGCGTTGGTATCCCTGACGCGCGCGGCTTGCCCGATCGGCCCGCGTGCGAGTCGAAATAAACGGCGACGACAACGACGACGATGACGACGACGACGGCGGGGTGAACGTGCCCGGTGATGTTCGCGATGAGCGCGCGTCGCTCATAGTCAGAACGAGGAAGACGTCATCGTCGTGGCTCGACGGAACGCGCGAAAACGGTGCCACTACCTGCACGACACTACCGCGACGCGGCACACGGCTCGACTGACACGAGACACCCACCAGAGGGAGCCCCCACTCGTCTACTCTTCACGAACCGCTCTCGCCCCTCTCCGTTGCCGGCACTGACGCCGCCGCCGAGTGAGTCTCGTTCTCTCCCCACCTGCGGCGGGGCTTCTTGATCCCCCCGCCGCTACTCCGCAGACGCAACGTGCAATTTCAAAGCCGGCGAGATCGCCCGTGGACTACGTCAGGATGCAACAGCCGCCGCCGCCGGGGTGGATCGGTCTCGTTGCGACAGGGGCGCGAGGATCTTGCGAGGAAATTCAACTTGTTCGCCCGAAATCTTCCCGGTGAGAAAATTTGAGAATTTCAGAATTTCGACGAAACTTCGGGAGCTTTTCTCTTAAACCCCGAATGAGAAGGCTCCACGCGTTCCCCGGCTTCTAAAGATTCTATCTCACTCTTCCAGGATTCTCGTCTAAGTCCACTTTAGACGATCCATAAATTCGCGTCAGATTTCAACATAGAATTTTATTTATTATTTTTTATTCAGTCTATTTACGAATTTGTGTGTTATTCTTACATAAAATTATGTGTGCTATTTAAACATGTGGTATGAATAGATACTCCGAGGTTTTGAGTCATTTTCACCTTTCGCGCCATATAAAATTATAAGTAGAATTTTATGCTAAATTCTGCTGCAAATTATAAATCGTTTCAAATAGATTGTACGTTTAATAATATTGCAATCTTTGTTAATATCTCAGAAAATTATTTCAACGGTAGAAAATGGCTTCTGAACTGTCATCTTAATAAGAATATTTCATACTGCTTTAAAATCTTTTATTTAAGTATATTCAAGTTAAATTTATTCTAGAACAGTCTTTTTTATTACATGGTGCAATATTAACATTTTCTGCTTTGAAATGTATTAATGATTAAATAAGAGTATTGCTTCAGAATTTGATTAAAATTCTGAGCATCATATTTTATTATGTAGATTTCGACTTCGACTTTTGCGCGAGAGGATCAAATTAAAGAATAAATTTTAATATATAGATGGCGGCGAAATCCGCTTACCGCTATCGGTTTTCGTATTAAAATGGCAACGGCAATTTCTTGAATTCACACGAAAGACATGGAAGAGAAAAGCGGAAAAGGTATACAGCCGTTTCTCCATAACCCCCGTTCCGCGCGTTGCGTGACCGTTCAGAAAACAACGGCGGTCACTGAACGAGAGTTAGTATCGATGATTATCTACGACAATCGTAATCAATTTCTTTGTCAGACCGACGACATTTATAAATGAACGGTTAACGGCAATGGTACAAGGCCTGTGACCCACGAGGCCAATAATCTGCACTGCTGCCAGTCAAACGGCCGGCACACGTTCAGCTCTCTATGTGCTATTGTATCACGCTCGAATGAAACTGGACTGCATCGAGCGGTGCAGAGTGCGATAGGAACGGCAATAGTTCGAGGGTCACTTCTTCCCTTTTTCTAGACAAGAATCGGGTATCCCTCAAAGAGCGACTTTCCTCTGGAATAATGATAAGTGAGGCAATCCAAAGACAATCATATATTGAATAGCAAAAATGTAACACGATTATTCATTAATGAGATTATTAATCAGGAGATCGCGTGATCTCGCATAAGTAAAGAGTTAAAATCTTCATGAATTTTTGCCGAGTAAAGTATAAATTCCACTACATTTCATTCGAATGAAGTTTCAGTATAAAATTTTTTCGTCGCAATAAGCAATAAAGTTTTATTGGATATTCACACTGAATTTTGGAATTTATGGTAGAAAGTAAAAATAATCGATAATACTTTTATTATTCATGTCATATAATCATAATTGCGCATCAAATAAATTTAATATTTATACAATTGAATTAAAATTGTTTCGTAAAACAATTTTAATATTATTTGTTGCTATATACACAAAATGTAATATATAAAATATGTTCTTAACTTTTTATTGCAACATGGTATATACACAACAAGATCCCAGCTTAATCATCCGTATATTCGTTTTATTTAAAATATTTTATTAAAAATGTACAGCATTATATTTTTAATTATTCGCCGTGAAAACATCTGCCGCATTCGCTTTTTTGAGAAATACGAACACGAAACCGATGGCAAGCACTACTCTTGGGAAATCTCTATTAAATGACAATGCTAGTCGTGCGGAGCTTGCGAACGATGATCGCCGATATATGCGTGAGGTCCGAATTAATTGAATGATCGGACGTACCCGTCCTGCTATGACGGCAAAGCAGGGAGTGACAAGTAGCTCTCAATAACGTGATATGACATCGCGTGTCGTGGACAGGAAGGACCCTTTCAATGCAACCCTCGCTATTTCCTCGCTTTGGTCGAGTAATTTGCTTTCGAAGCAGAGGGATGAGATCGGAAGACGGGTCACCTGTCAATATATTAACTCGTTTCCGCAATACTGCGAATTATTATGGAACGGCGAAATAAAGCTTCCAATCGTTCACGGACTGTTTCAGATGTGATGTCCCAAATATTTATAAACGTGCAACAAATTCCACCGGCATTCGGATATCCCTGATTATGCTGGATATAAATGATATTATCAAGGTCTCTTTGAGTTTGTTATTGATGTCAAATGGCACGATGGACTCCATTAATATTCTACGTCAACGAAATTTTACGCGGCTGCGATGTGTATATATCAAATATCTATATGTACGCGTGTGTGGATATACATTATCATAATCATAGATATTTTAATAACTTGTCAGATGTTATAATCGTACGAGAATATTTTTGAAGAAAATTAAAATGTTGTGACAACCAGGATGATGTGTCGGAGAAAGATAGAGATTGGGGAAAGAGAGACAGAGACAGACTTTGTAATAACGTTATTTTACACATATTTACTGCTTTTATGATTTGTACGAATAAATTCGTACCCGAGTAAAATATAAATCAAATCATTACATTAGTCATTAACAGATCATTAATTTTAAGGGAGTACGGAAGATTAGCATTCCGACGATTGTCTGCTGAATATGATAAAGCATGCCCTCCCTGAACGCATACAGAGCAGGATAAACGTAGGGTCCTGCCGGATTCTGGTTAGGTACTCGGCTTATCTTTAATCGTTGCGTCGACAAGACATGACGCCAGCAAGAATTTGCAATTTTGCTGATGTACGTATATCGAGAATGGATCGCGAATATTAAATAAATTTTCGAGTTAGAAAGACAACTAATGAAGATCAGAATATCAAGTTTGTTGCAAAAATTGCAATAAAAAAATCCGCGAAACGCGATTCTCGCGATTAATTCTGTGCTTGTTTATCGTTTTTCCGAAACGAGACGCAGTGCATCATCTCGTCGGCAATACGATACTCTATATACGGCCGTATAACGATCCGTATAAATTCTAATCGATAATCCTGGCTGGCGTTTAATCCTGTAACTTTCATACGTGTGCCGTTTCATTGTTTACAAGTCCACGCGACGGCGTATTTACGGTGTGTTTTACCGTTTCGAAAACAAGCGATAAAACGGCACTTCGCCCGTTCGCTTCGTCGCCGCCGCGCCGCGCCGTATCGACGGCCGAGCGTAGCCTACGACGCTGCAACCAGAACTGCGGCTACGCGACGTCGTTGCAGCGCGCCATCGTCGAGGTGTCTTGAGGTCTCGACGTCGCGATAAAAAGTCAGCTGGGGCCGAGACGCTCAAAAATATCGACGTTAACTACCGATCCCGTTTGACTGTGAATCCGGAGGAGAAAAACGCTGCGCGCCCGATGCTGCGAAATGGCGATCGTAAATAGCGGGTCCGCGCCCCGACATAAAACCCCGAACGAGCCGGGTGAGCTTAAGGCAGACAACCGTTTTTAGGAATTAAAAAAAAACGAAAAAAAAAGAAACAGCAAAACGCATGGCTTTATAAGCGTTATGCTCATATATCAGCCGCGTTAACTACGCGATATAAAATTCGAAGAAAGAGATTCTGACGCGCGGACGTCTCGTCTCTTCCCTTTTTTCGCGCGACGCTCTGCTCCGGTCTGCTCGTGTCGGCTACGCGACGACACGTACGGGTAGATTGCGATATCGTAATTAAATAGACGAAGCTCCTCGTATTTCAAGATGATTCATTGCCGCTAGACGAGTCGTTTTCATCCGAGTCGGTGTCATTAACACATTACGGCGCGCGCGACTTGTCGGCCCGAGATTGTTGTGCCCCGGTTGCGGGCATCGCGGCAACAATTTTTCGGCTCCGTTCTGCTACATTACGCGACTCGCGCCGCGAAACCTTGCCGGCCCGGGATTGCCCCCGGTGTACGATTTATCGCTCCGCCGATATTTCGTTCAAAAAAAAAAAAAAAGAAGGAAAAAGAACGCGGTGCGGCGCCCGCGAATTCGATCTCGGCGGTCCCGACCGGCGGTCTCTCGTCGCCTCTCCACGAATAATTTCGTGACGTTTATCGTTCAAGGCTACGCTTGTAAACAACGCGAACGCGAAGCTCTATTGAAGCTCGTTTCTATCTCAAGAAAGCGTGGTGTATGTATCTAAGAGCGTATAAAGCGCAGCGCCCGTGAAAAGAATTCCTACGTTCTAGGATATATTTAATGATGGATCGTAAAGGGCGAGCCGTAAATGATAATGATAGCCGGACCGTTTCTTACGAGAACGTTACTTACTGCAAATATCTCGGCGGCCCGTAATACGAGACTAATTTCTGTTTTTCCCGGTGCGCGCCTTACGTAACGCGAGGGGGTGCTGCGAGAGATGCCTTGGAATCTGCGTAATTAAGCGAGGGTCTCGCGAATAAATTTACATCGTCTGTAAATCCTTCACATTAGATAAATGCTCACAATTAGCTCCGTTCCTGCCGCGCCTTGCGCGCATTTCGGATTCGCGAAGGTTATGCCGTTTTTGGTAATTAAATAATATTGCAGCTGTTATAATTGCAAGCGAGTCCGTTTATTATCTACAATTTACTCGTATCTTAATTGTTACTTAACTGGTCAAACATGCGCGGGTACTAATAATAAATTTGTGATAATTAATAAAATCTAATGTAAATTAGGTCATTCAATATTCTTCTAATACAACTTCTCTCTCTGCATAATTTTTTGTGCATTGCTCGATAGAATAACAATATTTTTCACCAAGAAACGCCAAGAAAATTAATTAAAATCAACGAGAACATTCGTTGCGTAGCTATTAGATAGAAAAACTTTTTCTCTACATGTCGCTCGTTATTCAAATTCTTTAAGTATAAAAAAATTACAGTATATATTATAACTATTAGTATGTCAGGTTTTAACATTAATATGTAGACTTCGTACTTTTGTACGTAAGTTTGCAGTATTATTATATAAGAACTCTCTCTACTGGATTATTTTGCTGAAAAATTATAAGAGAGATCTTTAAGTGATATCAGTGATGGTGATTTAACGACACCATAAGCCTCGCCGTAGATAGAAGGAATGTACTTTATTTCTAGACCGGGGGTGCATAAAGGACTAACCTTGTACCCGGAAAAGCTCGAGTTAATTCAGAGGCCTGGCGAAAGTCGTAAAATAGTGCGTGACTGTCGGTTTTCCAGCGGGGAAAAGGAGAGAGCACATACGTACGTAACTGCAAGTGAATGTGTTTGCGGAGCAGGTGGAGCTTTCTAAGGGAACCTGCGTGTACACGGTATATTTGTACATGCCCTTCTGTACAGGAAGCATCAAAGAGAAATTCATACGTCTCGATCATATTATCTTTCTTCTGATTTATTTAAAGATTTTAAATAAAATGTAATAGATTTTCAAATCATTATTTTCTGAATATCTAAGTTTATATTATTAAATATTTTAATAAATTGAATTTTGTGTCAGATTTTTTTATTGGAGTACATTCTTATTACAGAAAAGCAAAACTTTGTCATTTTTTATATTTTATAATTTTAACTTTCACTTTATAATCTTTGGCAAAGTATATTTTAATCTGGAGTAAATTTAAAAATTACTTATGTTCTTACATGATGTTATTGCCATATTTTTAAATCCCGTATTAAGATATGGTAATTTTGAGACGCCCTATACATATACATAAGAACTAGTAGCTTACCTTGAATTTGGAGGGTAGGATTCTGCTGTGAGGGCGAGGCACGTACGTCTTCTATGACTACAGATACCATTACGAAAATGACGGTAGGCAACTGAAAAAGCGTACAACACACATCCAAGTTTTTCAATGCGGAACGGAGGAGAGGTTTGCTAAACATGAAGATCCTTCCGATTGGATGTTAATATTATATATTTCCTGCAGACGAATTTACGGTTACTCAAATTAAAAATTTTAATTTGTATAGTGCTGGACGATAAAGGGAAAGAATAAGATGTAAAGGCGAGAGTCAAATTCGCTCTGGCTTATTAACATCGCTTTAATCATCATTACTGCCGACTATCTATTAATAATTGCCTCTTTATACTCTTCTTGTAATACTCATACACGTGTAATGTGAGTTAGAAATGACGAATTGGGCACTCGAGTACTTAGAGAGCCCGAGGCTGTACGAAACGGTTATGTGGTTGTCGAGTCTGCTAAAGCACAAGGTCAAAGTTTCGGCAATTTGGGATGCGATGCGGGTAAGGAGGTAGCAACTTTAATCACTTTCGAATCGGGGGTAAATCTACTCGCGTATCTCGAACCCGCAGGATCATATCGCGTGTAGTTACTGCTTTACGAGAGGATTCCGATATAAGGGTATCGTATCAAGGATGCGCAGAGGAAACAATCAAAGCTGGTTAAATTAACAAAGTCGAATAATTAAGATATATTCTTCTCTCTCTTACAATCATATGAAACAGTTTGCAGTTGTACTTATAATTATTCGAATTTAATTATAATTGTCCAAAGTGTAGTCTATGTATATATACGATATACTTTATGTATATTCTCACAGATATAAAAGAGAGGAATACATAGTTACACATGATTGATTGTATCGTGCTTAGAATACGATCCAACCTGTAAACGTGCGAGCGATACATCTTGAAAGAATTATTAGCAATTTTCTCCCGCGTATACGTGAGATTACCATAACAGGAAATATCGAAGCGGTGAATGTAGATCGTCGTATTTCTTATTTCCATCGCGCGTTCGCAATGATTATTCATCTCCTTGGATATTTCGCATCGTGTTACTTTCACGTTCTCAAAATGCAACACTCTCTCTTTCCCTTGTCACACTGTCGACAACACGAAAGTAAATGCCAATATATTTATGTACCTCGATCTCCTTCGTTTTGCGGTTTTAGGCGGAATTTTAATCGAGGGCACGACCTCGCGCGGACCTTCCGTAGTGTGCGAATCCATAAATATCAAGTGAAATGCGGGATAAATGGGTGTGGCGTGACTCGGGCCAGCCGCGTGCCGTATATCCGAAGTCTCGAGAAACGGCAGATGTATCGTATCGGCGTGCAAATTGGAGATGTCGCCCGCAACGGATTCTTCTTTCGAATGCATCACTTAAAAGATTAATTTTTTCGCCGGTATCGGATAAGAGTATCCGTCTTCAGCGGACTCCAGTGAAGCGCTCAAGTGAAGCCCCGAGCTTATGGCACCCGAGATGGCGCCGAACTCCTCACCGTGCACGATGCCACCGGAAACGGCAATTCCAGAACTGTGTCCACCTTCCAATATTGCGCCGGTTCCCGTCTCGATCGCTTCAATTCCAATGGGACCGATTGATTGTATGGCGTGAGGTCCGGTTGGATAGATGGGAGCGATCGGTTGAGCGGGAATGGGATATGGATCATGTATGGGTTGCGGAAATGGAATTGGGGCGGGAGTGTGAACTGGTACCGGAACCGGATGTGGAACTGGGATCGGATGCGGTACAGGGTGCGGTACGTGCACGGCATGAGGTACCGGCACTGGAACCGGGCGGGGTACGCTAACGGGGTAGTGTCTGGTGACGAAGACTGGAACCGGTTGGGGTACCGGGACGGGGACGGGACGCTTCACTTCGACGGGTACGGGATGCGGCACCGGTACGGGAACTTTGCGAGTAACGGGAATTGGTTGAGGTACGGGCACCGGAACTGGAACCACGCGATTCACGATGGTTTTGTGCACGTGGTGTACGGGTCCGTGTGCCACACCGAAACTTGGTGCGTATATTCCGTGACCGTGCGATATTCCCCCTATGAATTCGACTCCGTGCCCTCCGTCAATAATCGCTCCGGGTCCATATCCAAATCCATTTCCATGCCCATATCCGTGCCCATATCCAGGCCCATATCCATATCCGTGCCCATATCCATGTCCGTGCCCATATCCATGTCCGTGCCCATATCCATGCCCGTATCCATTTCCATATCCGTGTCCATTCAGCGCAGCGCCGCCATGTCCATAAATCGCTGGTCCTCCGTGCAGAAAGGCACGTTTATCATGTTTCTTCTCCGTCGCTTCACCGGCGATGGCGGAGACAAACAACAATAAAACCTGCAAGCAATATTATTGATATCTATTATCAAGAAAAGAGATTATCAGATTGTATTTTTTTTGTCACGCGAGATCTGTGTTATTATGGAAATCTGTAACGTTAATCTTTTCGATTTTATTAACATAAACGGTGACATTATATTGTAATCTGTAAAATATATATATTCAGGCTTATATTTCTTTCAATAAGATAGATTTGCGAATGGCAAGTAAATAACAAAAAATTCAATGTATATAACAAAGCAATATATTAAACTATAGTTTACTCTTAATGTTCCAGTAAAAATAGTTTAACGGTCACGTTACAACACAAGAGAAAGATATTCATATCTGTTAATATAATAATAGAAAAAAATTGATTAAGACTGAAGAACTGCACTTTTTTACTTAATGCACTGCATTATGTGCAACACGTTTGCATATGGCAAACGGTTTAACTTTGTTTCCTTATGGTACATTCGTTATTGAGATATCCGTAAAAAAAGTTTGATGAAAAATTTTGCTACTCACTATGAATGCCCTCATGGTGAACGTGCTATGAGAAGAGATGAGTCTGAATGTGCTTCATATCATCGATTCGTCGGTTTTTATACTGCGACGATACAACTACTTTCACTAAATATTCGCTGCAACACGCCCTCTGATCTGGACCCATCACATTCTAAACCTCCCAAACTTCCTCAATGATGCAATTGATCATGCAGGGACGATGTCCGAGAGATTCGCTAAGTAAATCGGCGAAAAGAATATTCATGAGTTACTCCTTGACTACGTAAGTTATTCTATCATATTATATGTACATACGATTTATTTAATTGGCGGACACTCTCTTGGGATTTTCAATATATTTATGAAAATAACTGTTATGTAAAAATGTAATTTACATTTTTATAACTATAGAAATCAGGAACGAACGAGTCCCAAAAACAAAATTAAAATTTTGCGCGTGAGCTAAAGTTAAAATGACACTCTTGTCTGTACGTTTGTTAACATGATGCAAATGAAAAGATTTATTGTTTCCATTGTGAGCCGTCATACAAAGTTTTTTTTTTTTTTAATTGAACTGCACTTGTAGAGTCGCTATCACCAACGATATTTTTTCTGATATCTGGAAATGTCATTTCCATGTCACACGATTGTTTTCAACGTCCGACATATAACAGTCCATGCATATGTCTGTAGAACGCAAATATGTTTCACAATCATGTCCCAGATTATACAATCTTATCGACTACTACACATTCAATAGAGAAGAAAAATCAAAATCAATTGTTAGAACTTTTATTAAAAAGTTATAGAAATTAGCGAAATATACACATACCTTCACAGGTGAATAATAGAGGCAAATTTATATATTTATATATTTAAGCTATTATTAAATTGCGCGTGACGCAATGTTATTAAGAAATTGTACGTTGTTAAATAAGAACATAAAGTTCTTTACAAATCTCTATGAAACGTCAGAAAGTAATATCTTCAATCCTGTTTTATTATTTTACGAAAATAAAGTAACAAAGAAGTTGTCGCAAACTTCTTTGCGACAATGCATGAATAAACCTGTCGGTGACGGGCACCTAACACAGAAGACGCGTTACCTAACACTATAACAGACACCTGCGTTGATACGCCCTTTCTACTTGCTTTATTTGTCGCGGTCAACCGTTAATTGCCCTTTTACTTACAGTTTAGATTGTCGGAGCAGTGTGCTAGTCTGGGGCAATAAATCGGTAACCATACTGCGACAATTAGCAACGTCTCGTTGAACGCGTTGTGAGAACCGCGCGCCGTTTCACAGTCGTAGTCCTAATTTCCTTACTTGAGAATTAATTTGGACTCACCGCACATCGATTCAATATTCTTGTAAAGTACGCGTGATTTGAGCTTAAATGAGTATAATTGTAGCATTGATATCGTAATGCTCGTCACGTAATCCATTCTTGTGTACTAAAAAGAGTGATAAATTTAATAAGTACTAACAATGAGTCTATTTAAATATTCAAATTTAAAACATTTACGCAATAAAAAAATTTTAATAATATAAGCTTATAATTCCAAATAGATAATTCTATATTAGTGTTATATTAATGTCTTCTAGTTAAATTAATTAAACATAACAATGAAAATAAGTACATACTCTAGATATATGATGAGTTATAGATAAGCATACATGCATGATTAATTAATCTAAAAAATAAGAAAATTGAATTAGATTGATTTAACTACATTCCTAAAAGCAGGATTACCGAATGCCGCGTTTATTACATACTTCAAGAATAGCAATATCATTAGTACAAGTGTTAATTATACTCGGTGAAATAGCATAGACGCAGACAGAGGAACGAGTTTTCCCTTAAAGCTACGCGATTCAGACGGGCTATCGCGTTTGAACGGGTAAAGCGCGTATTTAGCTGCTGGCCATGCGCCCTCTCATAATTAGCAGTTTCCAAAGGATTTCTGCTGAGAGTCCGCTAGCAGGCGCCGCCAAGATTTATCCGCGTCATCCTTTTTATTCGGGTATTCACGAGCGAGGTGCCGAGAAAAAGAACAGAAAGTAAATGGAGACATATTCCTGTAGGAGCGCGCGCGAAGCACGGTCGATGCAGAGCGGGAGCTAATGTCAGAGATTAGAGGTAATCCGTTCTCGGCTGGCAATCGTCGAGGAGGATCCTCCTCGTTCGCGACCGGAGCGCAGCTTCGATCTAGATACTGCAGTCGCACTGTCGCAGAGCGCCCGGAGGTCTCCTCCTTCCTCCGCCGGGTCCTGGACCGGGTCCTGGGCCGCCCTTTTTCGCCGGCAGATACATTAGAAGGAATTACGGAGAGAACGCGTTCCGAGTGACGCGGGCATTAAGACCGCGCAAGACACGGCTCCGTAATTACACTAATTACGGAGTCGTTAGGGATTCTTTATAAATACTGCGTCTTTGTTGCCTTCTCTTTTTCTCACGGCCGCTCCTACGAGCGCGAGCTTCGGGAAGCGACCGTGGAAGGAATGCGTGCCGACAGCTTTATGGAAAATTTTGCGGTTCTGCGGTCCTTGTTTCCCTCGTGAAACAAGTTCCCTTTTGCATTTACCGTATTTGGAAGTTAATATATGCACTCGCAATGGTATATAACGTGGAAAAAATCTTGTCCTTTTTCCCGCCCACTGTTTGATCTCGTTTTTATAGAATATTCAGACAATTCTTCCTATGTTAAAATTGTACGTAGTATAATCGTAGTTATTAAACATTTGAAATTAAAATATTCTCTTACCTCAAATTAGAGGTGTCAAACACATAATAAAACTATGTTTATCTCATTTGCAATTTACTTTAACCGAAAATAAATTTAATTTGCGCGACCTATTTATCAACATATTTAGTAAACATTCAGAAAACATAGTTAATTAGACTTCTAACTGTCTTTAAATGCGATGCGGAATATCGTTTGTGTAGCGCGTCTGTGTGAACCTGTTATTTCGAATTGAAACAAATGGAAATTCTGGTCATTGAACGTTAGATTGGATATTTCCTATTCAAACTGAAATCCGGCGGACACGTCGTGAACTTTCGTGTTTCTCTACTTTCACTAAACCAGTCCCCGAGAAAATCGAAAATATGCACCTGCGAAGTTCTTCGTTTCTCCCAATAAGGCCGACTTCGCCATAATATATGAATAATTAATAGAGCTTGCTAATTAAAACGGCGGACTGACTGCGTTTTAAGCGCGATTTCGCTTGTAAAACTATCCATTATCTTTATATTTAGATACACGTATACAAGTCATAAAATATACATATCTACATATGTAGAATTAGGTAGAGTTATGTAACATTTCATACGAATTTTGATGATACTCAGAATTTTAATAGAGGACAAAAATTATGAATTAGAATTTGGTAGCAATCTTTCATCTTTCTTATGCTGTAATAAATCATGTATAAAAAAAATACTGTTTTGAATTATTATAAAGCGTGAAAAATAAATTGCGAATGTTAGATACCGAGATTGCAAAGAGATAATAACAATAAATGCAGTCTTGTAAAAATTTAATTTTCAATCGTTTTCACAACGTGCAAATAAATCGATAAATCAATCAAGATGTTTGTAAATTCATCTCAAGGATGCGTCTAAATCAGTGGGACGTGAATTACACGACAAAATATTGCGTAATGCATACGGGTGTGTCCTGACACGTTTCCATTCGAATAACGCACTTTCGTGCACGCTCAGAAGTTCGTAAACCTCTTGCGCGGATTCATACGTCGACATTGTTTTACGGTACTCAGAATGGGAAAGACGACGAGACGCAGAACGACAGTGCGTCGAGCTGATGGTGCGAGAGCGTGAGGAGAGAAAGTCGACGGGAAGAACTCGATTTCGCAAACGCCGAAATAAAAACTTTTCTCTCCGCCTAGCTTTTCGCGCCGCGCCGCGCCGCGCTGCGAATCTCGAGCGTATTTTCGTGCGGCAGTCCTCGCGATCTTGACGTGTTCTGCACAAATTGCAACCGCCGACAATCAAACTTGCCATCGCGCGAGACACCGTAAACGACGAGGGATCCGTAATCTTGTGCTGTTTCGACGTTCTTGTTTTCATGATGGGGGGGGAGGCCCCGACCTCGGCGATTTTTGCGACAAATTTCTAAGGACGATGGTGAGAAAACCTTCACGCTCGAATCGACGAAATCCGAAAGTAGTTTGTACCGCGATTACTTGTTCCTGAAATGCCAGCGTATAAATTTGATTCCCGATTCGAGCACGATTCTTCAGCGGTTGTAAAAATCGCGGAAAATAGTAAAACCGGACCGTTGAAGTGATGTTTCGTGGAAGTATGAATAAAAGTTATTGGTGTCCAGATTGCCAATACGAGGTGATTTGTATTTACGCTGTCTGTAGCTTCTTTAAATTCGGCTATTATTCAGTGTCTGCTATTATTGTATCTGTCATCCCATTTTTCCTTTTAATTGTTATGAATTTATTCGAAAACAATATCTATAATTTAAAAGTATTATTTTTTCACCAGCATTGAATGCGTATAAAATGTGCTTAGAAAAATACAATGAGTTTCTTTGAGGTAGATTGATTCGACAGAATATCGATCTGTACGATTATCTCGAGGCAATTTAAAGTTTCAGAATTATTCTATATGCAGGGATATATGTATGTATATAGTATACGCGTATAAATGCGGCGAGCAATTTGTAGGGAGTGCTCGCAAATGCTTCCGTACCGCTTTTTATCAGGTCTACATCGCAGATCGGTCGGCACCGTCGCGCCGTGGCAAGTTTTCGTAAATTACCAACGACTCGTGGAATTGCCCCATAACCAAAATGAATTCTAGGGCGCCGTCGCCATTGGGGGAGGATGCTGCAGGCTTTGCAACAACGATGTAGAGCGCGACGCGAATTCGCATCGGCTGGTAATCGTATTAAAAGGGGTGAAGCACCCAAGATCGAAACTTTCGCGAGCGAGGTAACGCGTAAAGAGATCGGGGGAGAGTAAGAGAGGTACAGGCGGTAAAAGAGGATGGCGGGGGAAGACAGAGGGGAGAAAATAATGGAGGAGAGAGCCTCGGCGAGG